CTTTATGTCATCACACAGAGAGAGCCACAACTGCTCCCTTGATCCAATATGTACCGGTCCCTCACTGATTCAAACGTATGCAAATCGGACCTAGCTTAGGCGTAGACCTTACATGCAGTAGAATGTACTGTAAACGAAGTCTACCGCAAGACCTTAACACGCGAAACCTCATCTAATATAAGGCATATGGTATACGAGGATAGTCCCAAAGTGTGAAACCGTAAAGTCAGGACAAGACTAATTCATAAGAATGGTACAAAAATCACTTTGCTGACCTGAGGAGATGGGTAGGCCTCAGACTGGCGAGGGGACTGTAGAGACTGTGACGAGAAATGACGAAGGTTTTGACAGTACTTCTATTCAACAAGGGTCAACCATTCGTTTGCCTAATCCTCTGTCACTGTACCAGAAGCTTGTTCTGCGGTTTCATGACGGTAGTTCATACGACCGACAGGAGATAGCACAGAAGCGCTACTTTCAATTCAAACTGTATATATTTTTTTACTTATTTCGGTATTGGGGGTGATGGAAGATAAAAATTCGAAAATTTTCCCATAAATACTTACATTCAACTTCAAGAGTCCTAGGAACCAACTGGGAGAACAACATAACAATGTCATGCTGATCGTAGATTGACATGAATCATCCACAAATAAATTCCTTATCAGGCTGCAGAGTGTACAAAGAAATGATAAATTGCGATGCAGCTAATTGAGAAGTCGATCTGCACCTCCTCATCCCACGTGAGTAAGGATGCAATATGGCATCTTGATGTTTCCCTAATGTGGTTGCCCAGAATCTGATCTAGTTGATATGGTCCTTCTCTGGCTCACATTAGGATGCCAGATGCACTAATATTGTTTGGCTAGCCAGACTTTTCCCTCGTGCGGCCCAAGTGTGGATGCCATTGCCAGACATTCGCCGAAGATGCCTTATTAGGGCCATGATTGGCCCGTATAATCTTGGCTACCTGGGAAGTTATTATGCAGAATGCTCGAGGAGAGCGCTAACGCTTTCACTTGCGGTTTGTGGGCGGTGTCCATCGAGGCCAACATGGGGGAAATGGCCATCTTGAATAGGGATGACCACCTCGACCCACCAGCGGTGTTCCTTTTTCTCAGGCGGCAAGAAATCAGCCTATCCGCCGGACATTCACCGGACATTCGCCGGACATTCGCCGGACATTCGCTGCGGATGTCCTGATATACGCTGAAAATCTGCATGCGCAGCCTTCAAAGAAAACTTTCCTGGCAAGATATTTTCGCCTCAAAAGACTCAGAAACGTCATCCTTCGGAATGGAACCTGAGATCGAAGGGCAGTAAAGGCCAGGTTCCATTTTTTAAAGGTCATATTCCCCCTAATTACCTCGTGAGTCCCGACGGCACCAGAAACCTGGAATCAGCTGCGCTGATCCGCCGAGAAAAATCGCCGAAAAGTCGCCGAGGTCGCCATCTCCTGGTCAGTTGGCACGGAATGACCCTCGTGACTTTTTTTTTTACTTTCTTTGAATAAATCTGCATATTATGGACATCGAGGTTCATCGATCGGTTTATCGATGAGAAAACAATTTATATGGAATTTATTTTTAACATAAACCATTTTGCGTGATTTGCATGAAAAGGATCTCCAGATATCTCTTGTTTACTGGATACACAAATAATAAGGCAGAAAACGTAGAATGGCCCCTTAATTGAGACAAACTGGCGTTCTTTCGTGAGGGGACATTCATTCGGACGCAGAAATAGAGGTGTGCGCGTGAGCGATTTTTGACTCACGATCACGGGAGGAAAACCGGGTCGTCACTTACTTTCACGCAAACTCGAGATTCAGTATTGAGAATCACACGTGACTCGTGTCACGCGTGACAGTCACCGCTTCGTTCTTCGTTGAAAATAATTCTAATTATTTGTTTGATATTGTATATAAATAGTAAATTGACCAAGTAAGTGTGGCACACGAGTGCGATTAGAGCTGTTTTCGAAAAGCAAAGAGAAATAACTTGCTGAAATAGTTCCATACTTATAAAAACTAGAACTACTATCCTATCTTAAACCCCTATTAACTCTCGGACAACGAATGAAAGGGAAATAGAGCAACTTTTGGCATATATATTTTTCTTTGGCTCCAGGAAAAGCTTGCATGAGAATATGGAACTTTCGACGTTCCCACGGGTTCGATCTTCGATCCTCGTAGAAGGATATTAGAAATCTGGCAGTCTATAAAAAAAAAGGAGAGAAATTAAAAAAAAAATACGATCACTCACGATCACGCACGAGTGAATTCTGTTCTCTTCACGATCACGATAAAGGCATTCTCCGAACCTCTGTTCGAGTAACGACTCACGAAAAAGGTCGTGAGTCCCGCGTGAATCACGCGTGAAGCGGGATCCACGCACTCCTCTACGCAGAACCATTGTGTATTGGCGTTGCAGTCAGAATTCATATCAGTTTTCATACTTTTTCAAATGCAGTTCAACATAATCGTTTCCAAGGCTTCGCAATCAGGCGACCCTTCGCATCTTTTCAAGCTTGGCTCATGAATGATTTTTTAATACAAATTTTACAAAATGAAAACTCGGGAAAATTTGACATTTTTGGATAATTTTGGGTTTCGAGTTACCGGCGGAAATTAACCACTTTCTCCTTGCTCATGAAGTACCTCCATTGAGCGACGTAAATTGTTAATTAGCAATTACCTGCAGAATAACAGCATGAAATTATTTTTCTTCTGACACCCGCACGATCCTCGCCTACGATGACGCGAGAAAGTCAAATGTTGGCACGGCGCAGACGTGACAACCTTGAGATGCAAGGACGGCAAGCACATAAAACCACATCGACGAAGCCACGAAGCAGCTCCGCGGTCCCAGCCAATACCTGCCAATCGGCACGAAGGCCATCTTGCACTCGGATCAACGCATTTTCCACCCAGTGCCTGCAACATCACACTCTGGATTTTCGGAGTCTCGTGCAGCGCAGAGTTCGATCAGCTGAGTTCGCAGTAGCAATCCCATTCATTCTCATTCTGGTTTTCTCCCGTTCCAAATTTTCCTGAACTCGAAATTAAGAATCCGCTTTGGATGAAAGTACAAAGAATTTAACTAATTTACCTTCTCTCTCTCTCTCTCTCTGTTGAGACAATTAGTCAAATTTGTCTTTTGTTCTGAATTGAGAGTATTACTTCTTGTTTCTTCTTTTTCCTATAAAAAAAACTTCTATTCTCTTCCAATTGTTATTCAAATTCCTCACTCTGTCTCAAGGAAACGAGTGCTCCACATTTACAGAACTTCTGTTTTTGCCGATCCGGCCTTACCGCTGGAAACCGCTGGAACAAATTTTAATTAATAGGAGATGCGTTAGCCGTAGATAACTAATTTGAACTATCGTGATGTCACACTAATTTTTCGCACCAGCAATAACTTATATTTTCTGCGTCATTTTGACTTCAAGGTGATATCCGAATGCTGCTGGGGTATATAAATAGTAAAATGGTACTTGGGGCCATGAAGTTGCCAAAAGCGGTCTTAAAAATGCATGAACGGAAGATATAGTACTGTTATACATTTAAATTCTTATTTCTTATCTGAAGAGCTCCATCTTTTATCATTTATTCTTATATCCCATCGTAAAGAAAATGCATGATGATCGAGAACTAGATATCCTAAGAAGGACCTAAGGCTGATATTCATATTCTCGGATATAGTCAATGAAGACGCTTGGACTCGTGACGTTGTTGGTCCTTCGGGTCCTGGGGACTCTCTCCGAGGCGGGGGGGAAGAGACAGGTCGAAGACCCCAACGATGAATTCCTCCGGTTGAACCGGGAAGTTGAGAATGTCGAAGATACCGATGTCCGTGGGGCGCTGGCACCTGGTGGAGGCGATCCGACGCATCCCACGACAAAGGCTGAGGCACTTCCCGTCTCGCCTCCTCCTCCAAGTCCTGCAGGTGAACTTTCCAACGAGACAGAAAGCACTTGCAAGTCTCCTTACCTATGCGTACCATTCTATCTCTGCGAGGTGAGTCTCTACTTCCTGAAAATTTTTTGTCAATAAAATCTTATTTATATCATACTGTTTATGATGTACATGAAAGGACAAGTGTCTCAAGTCCCATGATCTGATTCTTGGTAATCTCTTGTAAATCCTGCCATTACGGAAGATGTATATTTGAGAGTTTCCTGATGGATAAACTGCAATAAAACAGGTCTTATCCACTTCATTCGTCGTGAGTGGAGTGGACCTGTTGAAGAGCTCCCGATCAAAAACGTTGATGGGTGAGGGGAAAACGACGAAGCATCACGCAGTCACAGGAAAATTAACTTTGGATGTATTTTCTCCTCGTTCTACCATTCCAGAATTTTTGGCATTAAAAAATGTACTCCAGACAGAATGCCAGGAAAGAGTGCCAGCGAGTGTAAATCATTTACGTTTCCGGCTGAGATGCAGGAAGGGATGACTATCACGGCAGAGGAACCGAGCATACCGCCCTTCCATCGGGACAAACGGGAGTCCGGCCACATGAACTGCCCCAACTTCCTAGATGTCTGCTGCCTGGATCCTAGGCTATCCACCACCGCAAAGTCTTACATCCCTCATTGTGGCAAGAGAAAAGAGAGAGGTCTGTGCCCTTCACTTCATTTTTGGATTCCTTCTTCTCCATTTCCTCATTTCACTTTTTTTTTTAAGCAAGCCTAGCCTGCCAATTTTTTTTGTGAAGAGAAATTCAGTTCCTTGTCCAATCGAGGTAAGTTAATTGCATCCAAACCGACTTCGTCAACACTTGCAGGAACGCCATTGCTATAATTTTCACCATCATTACATAGAAGTTCTTATTTTTTTTTAAGCAGGAATTTTCTCAACTTGGTTTTCTAAGCAATCCATGCGGGAGAAAAAATGTTCCTGGAAAACAAATCTGCGATGCATGAACTACCATAGAGCATGACATCAACCTCCCCTGCCGAAGCTCCATCCCCTCACATCTCGTATCCGACTGTTTTCGAAGAGCGGATCGAGTCGGACAACGCAACCTCCGAGACCCAATTCGGCGAGTTCCCGTGGATGGCAGTCATCCTGCACAGGGAGCTCGACCTGCAGGGGAACGTGCAGTCCTTGTACGAGTGCGGTGGCTCCCTCATTCACCCCCAGGCTGTCCTCACCGCCGCTCATTGCGTCCACAAGTATCTGTGAGATGTCGCGAGTTCCCCTCCTAAAAATAAAAATAAACACGGTCTGTGGATCCGAAAAGTTGTGATTCTTACGTCTTTTCTCGCGTTTCAAGGCCCTCTTGATTGAGAGGCGAAATTCCGGTTTCGTGAAGGTTTCCCTTATGTATGCATGCACGCCTCATCTGTTCGTTATACTTTTCGGCTGCTCTCCGGTCTGTGAATTTTAATTGATATTTGTTTTCCAGCCTTGATTACAGCAATCTGATAGCCCGTTTGGGTGAATGGGACACCCAAGACCAAAACGAGCAGTTACAGCACGAGGAACGAAGGATCACAAAAGTGAGAACTGAACACGCCACCGAACCGACCGCCGGATTTAATCGCTTTAACTATTACTCTTCTCTCAGATCGCGATCCACGAGGATTACGACGAGCGAACCCTGTTCAACGACTACGCCATGCTGATCCTGGATTTTCCTGTGGAGCTGGACGATCACATCGACACTGTCTGCCTGCCGAGACCCGGAACGAATTTCGTCGGGCATCAGTGCTTCGTCACGGGATGGGGGTATTGCAATGAAGTCTAAAAGGGAATTCCTTGAATGTATGGAACGAATGAAATACCTGGTCTTTGTAGGAAAATCTCGATCGAGGGGCAATACCAGCAAGTGTTGAAGAAGGTCGAACTGCCGGTGGTGGAGCAGTCCCTGTGCGAGGAGAAACTGAGGAAAGCCAAAGGATGCTCTTCCTTCCTCCTTCATCCCAATTCCCTCTGTGCTGGGGGAGAACTCGGTCAGGGTGTCTGCAAGGTACGCTCTCGTGTCTGGGGCCGGCAAGGGGTTGTTTCACGATGAACGTTTCAGAGGGTGCCTTAAAAAATCGAAAGCCCAATAGGGTAATGCGATACGTGGACGCGTATTGGTGTTTTGAAACGCATTAAAAGCAATATTGTAATTAATCTAAGAGACATCACAAAGAAACTGAAACACGCCGACAAGTAAAGGAAAAACTTATAAGCATAAAATCCGTAAATACAGCGAATTAGAAAGGAGAAATTAGGCTTTTGCCTCATTTTCATCTGTCCATGTCTGAAAATTTGAATTTTGATAATTAATCAGAAGTCGACTATGCTAATATTGTCGACTTCCGATTAATTAATAACCGTTGCTTGTCCGTGAATCGCAGGGCGACGGAGGCAGTCCACTGGTGTGTCTGGACCCATTGACGAACCGCTACGTCCAGGCCGGGATCGTGTCGTGGGGGATCGGGTGCGGGGAGCGGAACATCCCGGGGATCTACGCGGACGTCTCAAAGGGTTCGGATTGGATCGAGGAGATTATTTCGATGCACGTTACGTGTACGTATCCGGATTGGAACAAGAAGGGTTCCGATTCCGAGACGATTTACTGAGAAATGATCCTCGTCTGCCATGCAGAAGGGAATATAAAAAAACTTTCTGGGGCATGAAGACTTGATTGATTTTGTCGAGCGAGAGAGGAGGGAATCGAAGGGGAACTTTTCCTGGATTTTCTTCGATGGAAGGAAATGGAGAAGCCTCGATCTTCAAGCAAGAGGAAAAACCGAAAAATTCGGATGGCAGGAGGACGAGCGAGGACTTCGCGGCGTGACCGCTGTGCTTTAGTCTCACCTCTTGAAATTTCTAATTAGATCCGCGGCAGACGATCGAAAAGAAAACTTTTTTCTGTCGCGTTTAATTTTCGTCGTTGAGGATTCCTTAATCAAAAATTCTGCTCGACTGCTTTCCGGCGAGGCATTTCGAAAGATCCTCGGAAACTCCGAGGCGGGAGAATCTCTTTTCCTTTGAGACCGAGCCAAATGGAGTTTCTATTCTCTTCGAATGCTCGACGAGCCATGCCGAAACTCTATTCACTCCTCGTCGGGGGGAAGGGTGTCGACTCCGGTTGCCTTTTTCGTGTCGGTGGATCCAGGCCGGTGGATTTAGCGGCTCCAGCGGAATCACGTAATGCACGAATTTCAAGTATTATCCAAGCCTGTTCGCCAATCCCTGGTGCGATTCATGCCGAAGCTGAATCATTTCTCCGAGTCTGAACCAAGACTAAAAATAGGAGTCCTGCGTCTCCTCTCGCGCCGACTTCACCGCATCGTCGAGACGCGAATTTCTCCGTCTTTAAAAGAGACTGGAAACTGACGCGAGGGATTTCTACCGACGAAAGACCGATCCAATCAACCGGAGTGACCGAAAAGGCACTCAGAAAAAAAAAATCCCTCTGGAAATTCGACCGAATCCAGCTGGACTCTGCCAGCTGAGAGATGTCGGATCTTGCTGAATTTATCTTAATTTCTTCCCCTGTTCACTTTTCGCCCTTTGTCCGACAAAACACGAAGGATCAAACACGTAGGGGATCCCGGCGTTATACGTTAGCGAATTGCCTCAATTGGAACTAAATTGGACTAATTGCCATTTCGTGGAGGCTAAATGCTCGGCCGTTAGCGGAGAGGCTGTTTTCGCGTCCGTGCCAATCGATGGCCACAGGATGAGGGACAAAGCTCTGTCGTGACAAGTGGTTAATGGAATTACCCATTAATTAAATCTGTTTCCCTGGCACGTACAAGCACGGTAAACTTGAATGGGGAAGATTTTTTCTTCATCCGATGAAGAAAATCTCTCCTCTGGACTGGATAAAGGGGGAAGAATCGAGAGGAAGACGTCCTTCAGTACCGAGTTTAAAGAGGTACTGGGTAGTCCCTTTCATCATGGCTTCCCCCCCCCCACCATTTAAGTTTCTATTTCTTTTTTTGCGAAATCGGAATAGCTGAAAAGTCTGCCTTTGATCCCGTCGCCATACCTGAAATCAGTGCGATAATAATATACGATCAGGACGCGTAAATCCCTTAATAGCCTGACGTCGTACTTCAGGTACAGCCAAGATGCAACGAACGTCCTCAGAAAGATTCCATCGACCGTTCAAAAGTCCGAAAAGTTCAAAAGTACAGTACTCGAGAACGTTTAAATCATTCGTTCATCAACACGTGAATTGAAAGTTCCTCCTTTGAGATTCAGCCAACGAGCACTGAACGCCCTGGAAACACTCTCTTCGCTCTTTAACAAGTCCTGAGAACTAATTACAGTCCTTCTCGCGTGCGAGGGGCCATCGTGATGAAACTAAACAGAACAGAATTAACACAGAGTCAGAAATTTTCCTGAGACTTCCACGAGCTTGGTAATCTTTTTGCCGCACGGGAATTACGTGTCTGAATGAATCCTTTGTGTGAAGTCTTTCATCTCATCCGGACCCATCTCTTGAGGATACAAACGCCCTACCCAAGGCGATCCATAGAGGTAATGAGGGACTTTGGACGAATGTGGTGAAGGATTCTGCGAGGAAAGATTCATCCCTGTGTGAAAAGTATCGAGGGTTAATTGCTGCTGTATAATAAAGATTGAGATTCGCTACATCGGCGATTTAGGCGTCACCTCGCATCGGCTGTGCGAACCTTCGTCTGTCCGAATCATTGCCAGATGACTCGCCCGCCGTCCAGACCAGGTAGCACCGACGTGCTTCTGATGAGCATTCTAATTAACATTCACCTGATGTCCCTCAGGAACGCATGAAGGATAAGATATTGGGAATTGAACGGAACCTCGACCGAGTGCCCGAGAGCTGCTCATCCGTGAAACGTTGAACGCTCCAAAACCTCGTTGAACGCATGCGGAATTTTTATTTCGAGAAGATTCATGCGATACTTGAGTGACAGTCATCACGAAAACGTTACTCGCGAGGCAATGCAATCCCTTGCAGGCTTCGTCTCACCTTTGCCTTTCTCAGCGGGACCGGAAGGAGCTCGTTATGCCCATTACGTAATCAACTAGACGATGCTGGATTGCGGAGCCAGCGTTAACTCGCGGAAGTCCATCCTCAGCTGGCTGGAAAAAAGCTTCAATGACTTAATTAGCCGCCATAGAGGCGTTATTCGACGCCGTAACGATAGTGGAAAAGGAGTATAATTTCCATGACCATCTCGGTATGAACGGACCTCATCGAGATCCACTTCAAGCAATTATGAATCATACATGAACGTATCATGGATATGAAGTTTGAATTATAACGAGAGAAACCCAGAATGTGGCAGTTCCGCTTTCGCAGTTAGCTCGCGAATCACCGAGACAACATCCCAATGGAGAAGGGAATGCATCCATCTCGTGTCCATTTCGCTGAGAAGCGAAGAAGGGCGCGGATGAGATGGGGATGTTACGTAACGTTGCGGGCACCGTGTCGCGACCCCCTGACTAAATTGCTGGATGCGTTGCGGACGTTCGAGGCAGGAACTCCATTGCGCTTATTGTGGATTCCTTTCTCGAGGATGGGGCCCTCGTAGGCCCTCTTTTCATTCGAGGCCTAGTGGGGCACGAGCCACTAAGAGTTTCCGTTCTCTTTGAATGCTCGACAAGCCATGCAGAAACTCTATTCACCCTACTCGAAGGCTGTCGAATCCAGTTTTCTCTCGGCGGTATTCAAAGTGTCTTGTTTCCATTTCCGCTCGGCACAACGGAAATGGAATGAAAAAAATATGGAGAAAAATATTGAATAAAACGAAATGAGATAGACCAAGGTGAGATTTTTCACAAATAATTTCAGTCATCATGTCCCATTCTCCCACCCTTCGTGTGATTCACGCAGGTGCTAAATCACTTCGCCGAGTCTGAACTAATAGTCACGTAAAAATAGAAGTCCTCACCTTATTTCCTCTCGCGCCAACTTCACCAGTCACCATGTGTGACTTCTCATTCTCGCTGCATGGAAAAGACTTGACAGGCAGGCCTTTCCGATCTTCCGATTGCGATCTCACTGGAAGCGCTTCGTGGAGAAGCGACATCTGCACTGATCGAAGAGAGTTACGTCGTGACTCGGCGGCTGTCGAGAGCGTGCGGAGCAGACGACGCAAGAGGCCTCTGTCGAGCCCCATCGCAACCGTGAATCCAATCCACTGGATAAACCGGAATGGCAGGCATCGTAAATCTATCGGAAGGAGATTTTAAAGCGGCAATATTTCCGTCAGCGGGGATTCTCCGCTCATTCCCTCCGCCATCATGAGATTCCGCTCGAATGAGTAAATCGAATCGAATATTCCCAAAGTGAATCGAATATTCCCAAGACGACGGTTTCCGCTTCTCTCGTCTCGTCGGATCGCTCTCGCTCTCGACACCTGGCGTCCCTCCCCGTGAGAAATATGACTTCAATCTCCCTCTCTAAATCGGTTCTCTTCGAGAGCGAGGCCCTCAAAGTGAGGCCCTCTGGGGACGAGGGGGAGGGAAAGGGCCGACATCCATCGTCTCCCCCGAAATGTCAGCTGGTGTTCGACAGATGCGATGCGATACCCTACCCGGAGTCTCTAAGGTGTGGGACCTTGAACGAGTGCATTCTGGGAGTCTCATTTCCATAATGAAGGGGAGTTGCTCCTCGGGGATGTCGTTGGTGGAGATGATTAATGATTCGGACCGGAACCTTGTCCAGGGAACAGACGGTTACCACGCGCTGCTACGGATGGTTGCATGAAAGGCGTTTCCTCCCTACTCGAATTGCGCGGCTGGCAGAAAATCAAACTCCCCTCTTAGCCCCCCCCCCTCTTCCCCCCCCTCTCAGTTCCTTTTTTACAGCACCCCAGGGAAGCCTTACAACCTGGTCTTTTATGCTCCTCCCCGTAGATTTGCCCCATCTACGAAGACAGGCACCAAGTGGGACCATTGGCGACACTTCACAGTTGGAACCCTGTATTTTAGGCCTAATATAAAGGCGATGCTGAAATCGAATCCGAGAAGCAATCTGCCGAGATCCAGTGGCGTCAGTCCCGTTCCCCCCTCACCCCCGCGGAGAGTCTCGAGACGGCCAGCCGTGGCTCTGATGGACCTCCCCGGAGTCGTCACGCCCATCCCCCCACCGATTAGTCAGACCTCGTAATCACGGCGATTCCCCATTGCAAACGACCACGTGGGTGGCATCGCTCCTAGCGCATCTCCCCGCCACGAGGCACTGCGTCGGGAAGGCCTCACTCCTTCGGGAAGAGGGCCTCGCTCCGTCGCAAAAAAAAGGCCTCACACGGTCGAAAAGAGTGCTTCATTCCGCCGAAAAGAAGGCCTCATTCCGTCGAGAAAAAAAAGCCCTACTACGTCGAAAAAGAAGGCCTCATTCCGTCAAAGAGCCCTCGTTCCGTGAGTCAGCTTCTCAAATGACTTTGATGAGGACGTGCAAAGACGAGATGACTGGCCCCTGCGAAAACAATGAAGAGGAAAATGCGCTCGGGCTTAAAAGGGAAGCGTGTGTAGCGGGATTCTCTGCTTTTCATGGCTCAATAGGCGCAGGGTCCACGGTCATGCAACTCGGTCTATTGAAAACAGTTTCGCCTCTGGGGATCATCCAACATGCCATTGATTGGGGGACCAGGAAGTGAAGATCTTTGACCCCTTCGCGCATCGAGGGACCG